GTTTTTCTCAGCACTGATGAGTTCCTCTCTTGTTCTTTTTGTTTGCTCACAGACCTCCCACAGCCCAGTGTGCCAGGATGTGCTGAAATTCATCAGTCAGTGGTGTGGAGGGCTACCCAGCACCAGCTTTTCCTTTCAGTAAATACTCAGGGAAGAGTATTAAGTTCTCTCTGTTATTAAAGCCTTGTAAGTAACTGAGACCACTGTATTCTTTGATCAAGGTCACCCCCCAACACCAGCCCAGTGCCTTTTTCCCCCCAAATCAGAATCAGAATCAAGAAGAGAAGTTCTTTTATTACAGCCATTTATATCATCCAGTTCCCTGCCCCCACCTTCATGGCCACAATCCTCATGGCCCATTACCTGCCCTAAGCCCAACTTTTCTGTGATGCCTGGATTTCTTGATTTTGAACAAGTAGCTGTTCATTATCTTGCCTTTTACATTTAAGATGTTCAAGCTCTGTCAGTTCCTCTAGCTGCAGAAGAGGGGTGGAGTTAGTACTCTGGTTGTGAATTATAGTTCAGTTATCTTTTCCACACAACCAATTTGTATTGAACCTTCTTGTTCATCATCCTTACCTGCCTCTGTAGCCCTTCCTTCCGGCAGGGCCCAACCCCACGGAGGGTGAGTGCTGCCACACAGCAGTAACCAGATAGAACAGCCTCTGCTGCAGACATGAGCAAAGAAGGGATCCAAAGAGCCAAGGCTGTATCCTAAAAGGTGAAGAGGATAGATCGGGGGGTACTAGTAGGAAGCAGGGCAGACATGGCAAGTTGGAGTGATTAAAAGGGCAGATCAAGGCTTTGTGGTCTGCAAAAAGACTGAGAACACTCACATAGATTCTTGTGGGGTCAAAGGGGCAGTCAGAGTGTCCAGGCCCCTGATCCAGCGGTATGGAAGGGTCCAGCAGTCCTGGATGGCAGTCGGCAATAAGACGGCGGCCACCATTGGCCACAGTGAGTGATACAGCAAGGAGGAGGCCCAGGGAGCAGGCAGTGGACAAGAGCAGGTTCGCCACAGCTAGTACTAGCAGGGCCCAATGCTGGCAGGGGCAGAAGATCAGGTGAGCAGCCTGTAGCGGGGGCCACTCTCCCAGCTCACTCTCCATTTGAGAGGACTCCTCTCCACTTAAAGATGAAACTGAGTCAGCCCCCATCTCCCTGACATAAGGCCCCCTCATTAAAGCTCCAGAAATCCCCCCTCACCAGTCGTGGACGAAGAAGATTCCTGGATGCCAACAGGGCCACAAGTCCCACGGAAACACTCTGGAAGACAAAGCCTGATGCCCCAGCCGCTCTCTGCCGCCCGCCCGCCCGCCCGCGACCTGACCCTGGCCCGCGCGCTGCGCTCACCAGCAGCCCCGAGCCCACAGAGATGACATTGGCTGTGGTGTACTCTGGAGTGACGGCACCGCGAGGATTAGCTACGTGCCGAAGAACGGTGCCGTGCAGCACGGCCCCCAGCAGCAGGTTCACGTGGCCCACCAGGATCAGCGCAAGGCCGGCGCGCATAAGCCGCCAAGGGCCCTGGGCTGCGTCTACGAAGCATGGGGGAGGGGCAGACCTGAGCCTGGAAAGGAACCGGGAGGCCCCTCCTGGCCACCCCAAGCCAACCGGAGGCCATAGGACAGGTAGAGAATGGGTGTAGGGGAACAAGACCAAAGGGACCGGAAGTTACCGAATCTGCAGAAACGGCAGCACCGCATCGCGTTCCTCTGCACAAGGCCGCCAGGCAGTTATACCTGGCCCCGGCCCCTCCCTCGCTCGCAGGCCAGTTCCGCCTAGTTCCGCCGCATCACTACCTGAAGGCCCAACATCCGCGCCCCGCTCCCCCTAGCGGGGAAGGCGCAAACACACAGAACGCTTTTAGCAAAAAGTAGACTTTTATTACAGCAGCAACTGAGGCGAATCAGAATGGCCCCCTAGGGCCACCACTGCAGCACCACCCTTCTCTCCCGCCCCGTCCGCCCCAGCGGGATTGTAGAATTCGGCTCCCCCAGCGCCCGTGGGCCCCCTTTCCACACAGGCAGGCCAGGAGCCGGCAGATCAGCTACTAGCCCCCAACTAGAAGGCGGCTGCTGAGAAGGCCCAGGCCCCCGTCTGTGCAAAACAAGTAAACAAAGTGCTGAGGGGAGGAATAAAAGGGGAAGGGGTAGGGTGATGCTCAGAACCAGGGAGCCCCAAAGCCCTCCTGAATAATAAAGGAGAGAAGGGGCTTCACAGGGTAATACTGACTGGGGGGGAGGGGCAGGAAGGCTGCAGCATATCTAGTGACAGCCACAGCTCAGATTAGAGGCCTGGCCCAAGTGAGCTCTAAGAGGAGACGGTGACAGCGGCTGAGTTGAGGGTGCTGTTCCTGGCAAAATTGAACTTGTTCAGGGTCTCTTCTAGCAGAGAAGTCAGCCGGCTCTGGTCAGCCTGGGGGAGAAGAGCTCAGTGAGATGGGCTGAGAGCAGAACGGAGGTAGCCAGGGCAGCTGAAGGCAGAAACCTCACCTCACTTATGAAGCCCAGCTGCACCAGCTCAGCTGCCAACTCAGGGATGTTCTCATCTGACAGAGGAACAAGAGAGGGTGAGTATGGTGTGGGAGTGAGGGGCACAGGGCCCTTTGCATAGCCCCAGTCAGGTTACCCTGGCTGGGAAAGAATGATACAAGCAAAGCTGTCAGATCTACCTTTAATTTTAAGGGCTAATATATTCATTTTATGTAAGTCACTGTGTGTTACTGCCTTGTCACCTTCCCCACCCCTGAATATGTTCCTCACAGATAAGACTCATAGACTTTCCCATTCTCTGAGGGAAAGGAGAGACTCACTTGGCATCAGGTCACAGCTCAGGTGCCGGTTCAGTTTGTCCTCCAGCTTCAGCAGAAGTGTTAGCTGGAGAACAGAACAGTGAGAAATTGAGGCTCGTCTGCCCTGCCCTCTGGCCACCCAGCTCTATATGCAGCCCTGGCCCTGAGCCTTACGTGGTGTTTGACTCCCTCCTCCACTGACTCAATGTTGCATTGCATCAGCACCACCTAGGAGGAGGGGACAGAGAGGGTTACTAGAGACCAGTGAATGACATGTTTGCCAGGGAGCAGAAACACATTATTTTCTCTAATAGACATAGTCTTATTTAAGATGTCCTCTCTCTCTTCCATGGTGACCGTGCCCACACCCACATCCACATCCATACAGCCCCACCTTTCGGGTCTCCACCTCAGCTGGTTCAGGTGTTGGAGTCTTGACAGAAGGCGGCACCACAGGTGATGTCACCTCCTCCTGCTGTGGCTGTTGGGGCCGAGGCAGCCCAAAGGCTGTCAGGGGGTAGATCCCATTCCTAAAAGGAAATTAGGTCACATGGGCTCTGTGGATACCTTAAGTCACCCATACCTGCTTCCTCAAGGAAGCCTTCTCTCTCTCACCTGACATCTTCAAGGAATTTATCTAATTCCAGAGCTGGTGACTGAGAGTACCTGGAGGAGAAAAGATAGAAAAAAAAATGGAAGGAAATAAGCAAAACAGCAGATTCAACCATTCCCAGACAATGGACAGTTGACAAAACCACCAGGATGGTGGTGACCAATCTGTCCCTTTCAGACCTTCTCAGTTAGTTACTCACAAAGTCTGAACTGGTTCTCTTCCTGGTCCAGCAGGGATTTCAGCCAGTACAGCACTGGTATCCATGTTTTTGGTGATCTCCTCCAGCGCATTCTCTGGGATCATATCTGGAGGGCATGATGGAACAGGAAGTTACGGATAGATAGTCATATTAATGTCATAAAACAGGTCCTGTTGGGTAAAGAATCCCTTTGGAAGTAAAAGAGGAAAGACAGCATGCCAGTGATAGTTACAAGGCTCCATACTGGAAGAAAATTCCTAAAAGGGCCAAGGGAACTCACGTTGGTGTCCCACAATGCAGTGGGCAGCAAGAAGTTTGAGTGAGGGCACTTCAAACAGTGCTGGGTGGAACAGAAGTTCTCTGGCTGTTGGTCTGCGAGCAGGCTCAGACTGCAGGCACTTTTGAATGAACTCCTAGAAAACAGAACAAGTGAAGGAGTTTGACAATCACCCCACTGTGTTCATCTTTATCTCAATATACTTAGCACAGGATTTGGACATACTAGGTACTCAACTCTGGTTGAGGGAACAAATTACTAACTGTATTTGAAAGGCTTCGAAAACTATAAAGTATTATATAGAAGGTGTCATTCATCGTCTTTTTGGTTTTAATTATTTTTCTGCTGTCTAACCACAAGCTCTCTCTTTTACTATTCACACTTATGATTTTTTTCCCCTTATTTTCTTCTTTATTATCCCATTCATTGCCTGCCTACCTTTTCTAACCCTCACCAAATTTACCTTCTCTCTTCTAAAACTTACCCACTGAGGTCAATAAAATTCACCATCTTTTTATTTCCCAAGCCTTGTACCCCAATTTCCTTTGTCTACTACAGTCATTTATTAAATACACTGGATTTCCCATGCATCTTCTAAACCTCACCTTCTACACCTCCTGTACAATTAACCTGCTTTCTTCCTTTCAATCTTGAAGGCCAACAAGGTCATATACCTAATCTTTCCCTTAACGAACCCTAACAATGAACTAGACATTTATTCCACCATAGCCTCAAGGCTTCCCCCTAGCCTTTCTTTTCTCTCCTGCTTCCTTTCACACTTACCTAATAATTTACAAACCATCCTTGTCTGGACTCCCCTGTCCTGACTCTGCTTTCTATATCTACTAACTCACAATGCTTATATCCTTTAAATCTTAGCTCATTATTTCGGGGCACTCTCCCTAACTAAAACTACAGTTGGCCCTTGAATAACAAAAGTCTAAATGGCACGGGCCCACTTATACATAGAATTTTTTCAATAAATACCTGAAATGTTTTCAATCTGTGGTTGGGAATCCACAGATGTGGAGGGCAAGCTGTATGTATTGTTCTAAACTATTTTATACAAGGAACTTGATCATGCGCAGATTTTGGTATCCACAGGGGATCCTGGAACCAATTCCCCGCAGATACCAAGGGATAACATAAGTTTTTGAGGAGTCAAAGGTATATGCGGGTTTTTGACTTCAAGGTAAGGGAGGGTCAGTGCCCTTAACCCCTGCATTGTTCAAGGGTCAACTGTATATAAATATAAAACCCAAAATGACTTATTTTATTCATTCAAATTGATTTATTTAAAAATATTAAGATGACTGTGTGATTATCTGAGGTAGCCATCAATTAAATACACATAGATACACCTAAAGTAAATGCATAACCTTTAACCCCATATTATCCATCTTAAACCCCTAATCTGCATATGTATACAAAAAGACATGATAGACACTGCTTCGGGAAACGTTCACTGCTTTTGCCTGTCCTCTCTCTGCTTTATGTTCTCTTGCTCTTAGAAGAGAGCATATTCCCAGTAGGTAGAAAGGAAGAACAACTGAAGACACTTCAAAGTTCTGTTGAGAGAGTGACTCTGAAGATTCTTACCCTCTGTAATGGGTCTTCTAGAAGCTGGATGGCACTGCTGATGGCTTCCTGTGGCACATATGAGGACTCTCCATTGCCCTGAATCTCCAGCACTGCCATCTGCGGCGAGCGGAGGATAAAAAGGAAAGAAGAGACCTAAGAACCTCGGTGTTTCCACAGTCACTCCCTCAAGACCAGTACCTTACTTGTCCTCCCCCTCCATTTCCCCCACTCCATCTTCTAATCTGACCCCTTTCCACCACACCACCCCTCCCCCTTGAGGTTTCCTCACCTCCAGTGCACACATGCCAAAGGAATAGATGTCCACTGCCGTTGTCACATTAGTGACTTCTAGAGAAAACAGGTAAGGTTTTGGTAAATCAGAGGATGGGAGCAGGGGGTGGCAGAAATGTCTTTAGAAAACTTCTTGTATTTTTTCATGTTGTTCAACAGGAAGCCTAGAAGTTTCAGCAATGTTACCTCTGGTTATAAGGTAGAAACCCTGGGGCATGGGGAGAGGGCAGAAAAACTAGGATGCCTCACCTCCATACTCTGGTGCAAAGAAGTGTAGATTCTTCTGTTCTTCCCGACAAGTCTTCACATGATTGTTGATAGTGTCAGGAGCCACTGGGAGTAGGGGAGACACCCACAATCTGACCACCATCAACAAAGCAGAGTCTCACTCCAGAGAGGCCCCCAAAAGCCAAATTCTCTCCTTAAGTCTCTAACCCTCAACAGGCGCAAACTTATCCCTTTCCCATCATGAACTACAGACTAAACATGATCATCACCTACCTCCCTTTTCTCAGGTCTACTGCTTCTTACCTAAGGTCCCTAATTCAGTAACAAAGGCTCCACACTAAACTAACAGGTCTATGCGGGCTTTGAGCTAGTCAAGGAGCAACGCAGGCTAAGGAAAAACTTTTACTCGTGACCTGTTCACATTCCCCAAAGCCCAAGTACATCTAATCCCTGAAGACATGAATTATGTTTGGTCTAGTTCTTTCATCCACCCTGCAAATAGCATAAAATAACAGGCAGCCCTTCCTAATGTGGGATAATTAGATATCTCAGAAACGTGGATACAGAATAAGAAAGATACAACAAGTAGATATCTTCCTCCTTATCCACCTCTGCTGACTTAAACTCAGAAATAGCTCAAAACTGAATCACTACAAATCAGTTTCACTTTTAACTCACCAAAAATTTCAGACCCATTATGTCCCCTTATCAGCCTCAACACTGCCTGCCACAGGGCTGAATGAGGAACCAGGGCCAGGCCTGATTTGG